GAGTTCCTCTTGCACACTGGTGAACTGGGGAGCCTTACACGGCTCCTGTAGTACAGGAGGTACAGAGGAATGAGAAGGGAATCCCTTCATACACCCAGTTCCCATCACTGCAGCTGCTGGTCTTGCCCAGCTGAGTGCCCAAAGCCCCTGCTCCTGCCTCCACTATTCTGTGTAGACATAGATTAATGCCGGTGTGTGGGGCAGCTGCCGCAGCCCAGCAGGTCACCAGCATCCTGACAGACCCTGCAACAACTCGGGCACAACAGGGTAGGGAGAGTTTTCTCACCTTTTCTTCAGCACTTGCAGTGGTGTTAATACCTGTTTATCCATTCTTGGCCATTCTTTATGATGTCTCTTAGGAGATACTGGGCAAAAGCAGAAGAAAAATACAGAGCATTCCAATCCCCTTTAAGCTCAATGCGACAATTTTAATCCTCTAACTAAAAGTAAAGAGGGGGAAAAATGAGATGGACTGTGACAGGTTGGAAGGACTAAATCCCCGTTAACTAGGGCACCAAGATTTAAAGGGCTCAGCTTTGCACATATCAAATGTCTCTCACAAGGTCCTCACAGAACACTGTCCCCTGCAATTCCTCAGTGCAAGTGAAGACCCGCTGCCCCAAGGATGCTGGTGGAGAACGCTACTGCTGTGATGTTGCCGTGTGCCGTGCCATGCAGAGAGAATAATGTAGCCATAAACCTGTATTTCACATTAGCCCTGCCACACACAATGATTTGTATCACCTCAACATGTTTCCTTTCTGCTCCAACATCTTTGCTGAAAGCAAGGCTTTGGGCCCAAGAAAATTAATGAGTAAATTATTTACAATACATAATTTTTAATAACACTGTAAGGAGAGTGATGCAGGCAGATCAACAGATTTTTCCTGTTACCTGATGTGACTCAATCTGTATCCTGTGCTGTAGGGACAGTATTTGCTTTCACTGTTAACCACCTCCTCACGACTCACCTAACGTGTAGCATGAGATTGATGGCTGTTCAAGGACCTGATCTGAGCCAGCAGTCCAACTGCTCGCTTAAGATCCTTTCACACTCAGCCAAAGGCAGCTTTTGATAGGTGCTTGGGCAGCTTCTCCAAAGCCAGACCTCACTTGACCTCATCTCATCATTTCCTGGCCTGACAGATTCACAGCTAGTCCTGATGGAACGATTTCCCAACCCTTCCCAAAGTTTCTTTTGGGCTGCCCAGCTTTTCTCAAGGCTGAAACTTGAGAACAAAGTGCTCAAACAAAGCTGCCCAGTTTTCTCAGCACAGACTGGAAATGAACCAAAATGTCCCACGGGACCACTCAGCTAGCAGAGATGGCACAGCAATCTGGCATTCCAAGGCCCAACAACCAGACTCAGACTACCCAAGTACAGGGAGGATACAAACAGATGCCAAGTTCATTCAGATTTTCTCCAACAGAACTTTTGAAAGGGTTACCTCATTGCAGAGCATCCATTCTTCTGCTGCCAACCCAAGCTCACTATAAACACCACCCTGCACACAAGCAATGAGAAAAACACCTCTGTGCTCACCCCAGCTTGCCCCTGACAGAGAAGCCAGCTCTGCAAGTGAAGCACCAACAGGGATGTGGCAACTGAACACCCCTAGGCCAGAGATAGGGTTATGCCCCTACCTGTTTGTCAATGCTCCTGCCAAGCCTTCAGAGGTCACTTTGAGAGGCTGTTCCCTACCTTTAGGCATAAAACAGGTAGTTCAGCCAAATGGAGACATTTCAGAAGGTTGGGAGATAAATGCAGCCAACTCCATCAGCAGCCTGGTGGTTGGTAATTCCTACCACACAAATAGATCTGAAAAAATCTAATTGAAAGGTACAAAGGAAAAAAAAAATCCACCACAAAAGACATGCATATTACAGCACCTGGGAAATACAGCATGATCACACGCACCAGGACTTGGCAGTGAGCGCTTGCACCATTCACAGTTTTTAACTCCAATACTCTACTATTATTTTTTACAATTTCAAAAGACTACAGGGAACTACATAAGAAGCACACAATTGTTTCAATTTCATTGTGTGGAAGTGATGGCCCCCATTTGCACAGCCACTGTATCCAGATTCCTGTACTCCGAGACTAACTGACCAGTTACCCAAGGAGCTGCACTGCTTTTTGCAGCTCTTACACACTCTCCCTTATTCATTACACTTTTTACTGAATACTTGGTACCAAAAGGCACAAAGTTGCAGCATAGCATTACTGGGCATGACACTCTCTGGCAGCAAATACTTTGTTCAGGGCACTCAGCATGCAAGCAGATGGAAAGCATCATTTTTCCAATTTTGTCCTGCAGAAAGATTTTCACAGAGAACCTCTGAAGACACTTTCATTGGTTAGAAGCACTTTTCCAGCCAAGCCCTAGCTGTTTCAGGGCAGTCATCCAAAACAATAAAGGCAAGAAAAATAGTCCTTTTTTTTTTCCCTCACAGGCACACAAAATGTCTGATACAGATTTCAGCACAGGTGCTTTCTCTCTCTGCTGTTAAACAAAGCCTCCTCAAAAAGATCATATTGCAGTATACAAGATGAAAAATTTGTTAAGTGTGAGAATTGAAAACAAAAGGTTAAAGCAGATAATTTTCTGCAGCTTTAGCCAAATGTCATCAGTGACCATGCTGTAACAGTTAGAAGTTAGAGCACTGCCCCAGCCCAACCATGGCAGCCTTGAAGCCTGAACTGCAAAGTCAACCCTCCAGCTCCACCATGGCAGGACAACCAGCCAAGCATCATCTCACCAGTCAAAACAGCTTCCCAGCCCTGGGGCAGCCGCAGGTGGCAGCTTCATTCGCATCCTGGGGATGCAGGGGGACACCAACAGTGCTGTGAGCCCTGCAGTGGCACTGCAGAGGGAGCTGAGGCAGGTCTCTGCAGGGATGATGCCCCTGAGGGAGCTGAAAGAAGGTAGCACCAAAGGAAGCACACAGCTGCCTATCAAAAACCCGGTCTCTACCAACACTGAGAAATTACCCATATGCTCAAAGCACGTAACAACACAGGTAATTTCTCTGCAGAGATAGGGCCTAAGAGACCACTATATTATTTTTAATTTTGTTTTTGATTTTGTTTTAAAGGTACTGCCATATATCTCACTGTCTCCACAGCCCCAAGCACAACTGGGATGTGGAAATCTGAAGTGGACAGCCCACCTCTAGTCCTTTTTCACTTTTATTAGTTGCAAGAATATGTGCTTGTAAAGACATAGCAAAAGACAGCAGTGGGTAATACACAGCCTTTTCTAACAAATCTGATTTTTCAGTGCATAGAGCAGCCCGTGCTGTGTCCTCAACACCCTCCTTTTGCAGCAGATCGGCCCTGCTACACTTCTGCTAGTGAACTCAACCAAATATTTTGCTACAGTTATCTCTCTCATCTCCAGCCCTTTACAAAACCTGCAAGCTAAGCTGCCCAAAAGCTCTGTGAAGTAGATAAAATTTTCATTTTAGACTTTGGGGAAACCGAGTCATATGCAGAGCCTGTAAGGAAGATGAGTTCAGCTCAGTCAATAAGGCAGCTCATCTCCCACTCCACGGGTCTCACTGTGGTTCAGTCTTCACCTTAATGCAACAGTTTGGGATGTGTTGTGGATCATGGCCTCTGCACTGGGCATGGACAGACAGAGCAGCAGTGACAGCTGACAGAACAACCCCAAAGAGCCCACAAGCCTCCTGCAGGAGCTGTCAGTAGGGCTGGAGAGCAGCATACACAGCCAGAATAGGAAAGAGAAAGCAAGGTCCTGGGACTAGCACTGAGGTGACATGGAATAGGAACAACCAGCTGGCATTCTATGGGGAGCCAAAGAGGAGCAAGAGATCCCACCCTGCTGGGCTCTGCCCTGGGGCTTCCCCTGCAGAAGTGAGACAATGCAGAGGTGAGCCAGAGTCCCCCGCTGTCCCTGTTTGTTTCATTGCCTTTGTGCTCTGCATGTTTTTCTAACAGGAATAATGAAGTCAGTTTTCAGCACTCCAAAATGGGCAGGCCCAGTTCAGTGCCACTGAAACAAAACATCTGCTCCCCTTACCTTTTAAGTGACTCTCAACCTGCCTGCCTTGGGATGAAGTGTCTGGACCAGGTTTCACCATGGCAAACAGCAACCTGAGATGTCTATCAAAGCTTTCTGTTTCTAGCAACACTACTAAATTTTTAGTCTTTAAATCTTGAAACTTAAGACAGTTTTATATATGCAAAGACAAATCTAACTGAGGAAGCAGCTGCATACTAACGCATGCTTCAGCTCTCTAGAACTTGCAACTGCTTCACCCCGTGATTTAATGAAAAGACTCTAGTAAAATAAATCATGTTCAGGAGCACTGCACTGGGCCTTCCCTCACCTCTACACACGGCCCCAGTCTGCCCAGACCACCATGTTCCCAAGCCCCAGCTACCTCACTGCAGCTACAGCATCATTTTGATTAACAATTAAGGCCAGTGCTTCCAACTTGATTTTATTAATATTACTATTGTGAAGAATTTCTTTTATTTTTCTTTTATTTTTAATCCATCACAAGGGCCCCTGGGACAAATTAAATAGAAAATAATTTTCTGCCATTTAAACAAACAGCAGCTATTTCCCAATTTTTAAAACATAAACACAGTAAATAAAATATTAAACGGTGAAGCTGACACGGTGAAGCTGCAGTAATACCCTTAGAGAAACCTTAGAGAAAAAGCTAGCAAGTCATCCTTTCCCAGGGAGTTGGCACAGGTCCCATGTGCCATAAGAGAGATGCCACAGAGATCCAAAAAAATCAGTGCTGCAAGGGTCTGGCCACGGCAGGAATGGCTGTCACAAAACCCCAAGCATTAAGGACTGTGTGTCCCCCACCCTGATACAAAGTGGGAAGAGCAGAGGCCATACAGGTGCTGGGAAGAGCCAGGCAGGTGCTGGATTTTGGCAGTGGAACAGGCCAGGCTGAACAGCACAGACAAACCCAGCAACTGGCAGGGGCACCTTCAGTTGCAAAACGGTTGGCACTGCAACCTGCAGCTTCCTCTCTATCTCATGTCCAACACCTCAGATATCTGCAGAGCCACAGGGAGCAGAGCTGTTTTGCAGGCTGATAGGATGGAGAGATGAAGTTTCCTCCACAGCCCTGGGAAGACCACAGAGCTTCGCATGCTCTGTGCACATGTGTGCAAACTCACTCAGCATAAGAGCAGAAAGAAACCTACAGAGCCTTATGTCTGATCCTTGCCCCAAAAGGCAGGAGACTCAAGAGGGACCAACCTGCCATGAGTAAAATGGTAAGGAAGCTGCTGAAATGAACTGTGACACCTCATTAAAAATTAGGCCTTTTCTCTCCATAGCACAGCAGGTCTGAAATTAAGCCTGACAATTTGCCAATGCAAGGAAATAGTGCTGATCCCCCTCTTGTTGGGTTTTTTAATATATTTAGGATCCAACTCAGTTTCCAGAGTTACGTGCCTGAGGCTACAAGACCTGCCTCCAGGCAGGCACACATGCAGGTGCTTCATGGGACATGAAAAATGGTATCATTTAGCAAGCCATGAAAGTTGCAGCTTATCCCAGTTGTGAGGAAAACAGCATCCTCTGAAAGCTGCACACAGAGGAAATGTGATGAAGGGACGAGAATAAAATCATTCATGAGCACACGGTGAACATCAGCCAGCACCTGCTCTGCAGGATTCAGACACCCAGGAGCCAAAGGCAACACAAAGCAAGAAGAGCAGAGTGTGCAGTTGACTAGGTGTTCCAGGGTCTGAAGAACATACAGCAAGATGGTCTTACTTGGTGGCAAATACAAGCACGGCTAAATGCGCCAGTTTGGCAATTCAGAGGAGCAGGTAAAGCTCTGCCTGCTTTCTGGCTAAACAAGATGTGGGAATTAAACAATTGACATCTTTCCTCACCAACTTGTTCTTTGCCTACACACACCACCTGTTCCGAGCAAAGCATCCCAGTGGAGTCTCCTACTTGCTGTCTCACCAGGCAGGTGACGTGCAGCTCAGTGATGTTTACAGAGCATTTAGAAACCCTTTGCTACAAGGAAAAAGGACGCCTTGATCTCATCTCCCCAGGGCTCATTTTTCACGGTTGAGCACAGAGGTAGGGAGCAGCCAGGAGGGCTCAGCTCAGGCAACCTGAGCCAGCATTACAATATAGGGCCTCTCCACTGCCAAACTGGCTCCAGTGGGCTCAGAGCAACTACACAGGTCACGAAAGTTGGCAGCACGAAGACAAGAGACAACACACCGGCTCCAAAGAGCAACTGACACAGATAAGAGGCATCATACCTGCTCCAAAGAGCAACAGGGCATCAGCCTAACACAATTCAGAGCATTTTAATAACGATACTTTTGTCTCCAACTTCCAGGCACGTTGCTGCTTCCCTGCCACCCCAGAGAAGTCCGCAAGCTGGAGAACCCTGTGGGCAGCCTCACATCCTGCTTTTGACTAGGGAATAGGAGCAAACACTCCCACCCTCAGCTCACAGTCAGCCAACGGAAAAATTTCTCTTTCAAAGCTGCCTACCAAGCTTTGCCCACACTGCAGCAGTGGCCTCGCTCTCTTCACTGGGACACAAGTGTGCTGGGCGAGCTTCCCATGCTGCAGTCTTTAGGCAGGGAAGAACAGTGCCCTGGGCTCTGCTCATCAGTGCCATACTGAAACAGATATGCAGCACATGGTGAACAATTAACCACCTGTATATAGCACAGGAATGATGTCAAAGCTCTTCCAAAGACACATAGCACTGGTTCTGGCCTTTGGAAATTTCCTGGAGACAGGAGACAACCTTTTGCCTAGAAGAGACAGAAAAGAGTCCAGGGAAGAAGCTCATCTTTCAGAAACACACAAACCAACTGTCAGAGCTCTCAGGGCTCCTTCTAATCAATATGAAACTATGCTGTGCTCCAGAGAAAAGAATGCACTTCGAGGAGTGTGGTACTCACTTGTGTTTCTACCCTCTGTGGTAAGTGGAAGAAGAAGCACGCAGGGGCCTGTCGTGTCACCAAGTGAGCCCTGCCATTTGGCAATATCTGAATTTTCATTTCAAGCATTTGTAGAGCCTGTTTGTAAAAAGCCTATTGCAGAGAGGGCACATGTCAAGATTTCTGTATATAAAGCAGATATCTCTAGGATCACTATTACTGCACAAGCTGCTTCTGGGACACTGATCTCTGACAGCTCCCTGCCCCAGCTTAAATATTCAAAGATTTCCCTGCTGACTGCAGGAATCAGACATCCAGATTTTAAGTTCAAAGTTGTGCTAATAAATATGAGATCAACAAATAAAAAACAGTTTCAAGCTGAGACTTGCAATTGACTACAGTGTTTACCTGAGGTGATTTTTATTCTTCACATTAAGAGAGAATAAAGAAGAAAAACACAAGCCCAGAAAGCACTTCAGTTTTTAAACCCATGCAATACACCTTCACTTGCCCAGGATTTGAAATGTCATAGCATAGATGCAAGAGCAGAACTCTTGGACTCACTCACCCAAAAGAAAGATTTTTTTTCTTTTTTCCAGACAGAAAAGCAGCCAGTTTTAGAAAACTGAAAAAAATATTTTTCCAGAGACCCATAAGTCACATGAGTCACCCTTATTTGCAGATGAGCCCAAACCTGAACTCCAACACCATCACTCATGCAGAGCAGAGGAAACTAGAAGCTGGATCAAAATGGGCAGTTTGTCTCAGCTGCTCTGCAGAAAGCCAAGGAGGGACAGAGAAACGTACAGAGCACAGGCACGCCTCCCCTTATACATGACCGCCATCACAAATTAAGTCAAATAATCTGACTTTGAGGGGAATGAACTCAGGGTTGAGGGCTCTGCACTGCCAAAGGACAGCTGCTTCTCTAGGTTCATTATTTCTCCAGCAGGGCAATAGAACCGGCACATTTCCCATGCTGGCTGGGAGAGGGTGGTGGGCTGTGCTGGGGAGCAAAGCTGGCCGCATGCCGAGAACCATCCACACAGCTACTGCCCCGGCCTGAGCAGCCCTCAGGCTCACACACGCAGCTTACACCACGAGACCCACTGCTAGATGCCACATCCTGAGGGACAAGAGCTGTCCCCAGACCTCCACCAAGCTTCCTGCCCCATGCCCACGTGCAGTCACTTCCCTGCTTCTGCCCCAGCAGCAGCGCAGGCAGAGGCCAAGGCTGGGACAGCTCGATGTGCACATGGCTGCTGAGCCTGCTGGGCTCCCCACAGCCACAGCACTGCAGAGTTACAGGAGTACACATTCTGCATTTTACCACCTTGCCTCTCATGGAAACCCCTTGGGAAACCTGCATGCACGAGGCAAAGCCCGAACACCACAAACCCTTCTGTTTCCCTTCTCTAGGCAAATACATCATGGCAGGTCAGGATGTGAAATTTCCACCATGCCCCACTGACAGGTGCATCAGGAGAGGGTCCTCCGTCTCAGCTGCTACTCAGAGCCCTGCTGGGAGGGCTGGCACATCCTGGGACCCCAGTTACAGAGGGATTTGAGATGCAAAGGGTGATTATTTTTCCTTGCTAAGGGATTTCAGGCATGGAGCAGAGCTGGAATGATTTACGCGGTTTTGAGAGCAGGACCAGATTTGGAGCGGCTGTTGCGCGGCATTGTATCTTGTAAGGAGAGGCTTTGTGGGTTAGCCATGAGCACATACTGCCTTCCCAAACAGCAGCAATATAACAACGTGTGGCACTGCCACAGCATCCTCCTCAGGAGGATTTTAAGGTGCTTGGCAAACGATACGGATTCATGTAACCTCACAAGCCCTCTGAGAGGGAGTAAAGTAAATGCTATAAAAAACCAGAAGGGATAAGCGGGGGAACAGAGAAATAAAACTGCTAGAGCAGCATGTTCAAGCTCACACAAGAAATCAGAGGCTCAGGGGCAGCTTCCTCTGCCACTTAGGTGGAATTGAAAAAAGCAGGAGTGCTCCAAATCCTCCGTTTGTTCAACTCAGCCCTGGCCAGCCTAAGAGCATTTCCCACTGCACCCAAAAGCGATAGCAGCACTCGCACAGAGCTCCTCAGCGTACTCATTTCCACAGCCCTGCTCCACAGAGGGTCCAGAGCAGCCGGCAGCCCCCAGCCCTAGCAAACAGCAAATAATAGAAGTGCTCTGCCCAAGAGCCTCAGCCTTGACTTTTGACTTTCAGCAGCTGCAAGCAATGGCCAAGGGGCTCAGCTGAAGAGTTTCCACCCTGCTGCCTGAGGGCTGGGACTGCTCTGACAGCATTTTCCAAACATTCACAGGGCTTCCTAAACACTTGCACACACAATTCCCATTACCGCTTTACAGGTGAAAAAAAGCGAGACAGAGGCAAAAAACCTCCGGTGCCAGCCAAGGAGGGAGGCGGGTAGCCCTGGCGCCTGGCCCCTGCTCCGGCTCTGACCGGGCTGATGCTTTTGTTCGCTTCCATGTGTGCGTAACCAGCTGACAAATGGATTCGCAGCCAAAGAGTGACACACAGTGCAGTTCCCGAACTGCTTCAGCTGGATCACTCCTGGGAATGGTATTGCTGGGCCACTTCTTGCTCCAGGGGCTGATTTATTTTTTATGAAGCGATTGCCTAGAGTTGGGAGAGCTTTATTGATGCTATTATACAGGCTGAAGGGAGGACAAATCACCCCCACGGACAGAGCAGAAAGGTCCTCATCATCCTCAAAATTAGGAGCTCAGTTTTATCCCCCTACTGAGCCCAAGGAGGGCAGAGTGTGGGGCTTTCAACAAAACTGAAGTAGCACATCAGGGCACTGCTACCACTCCTCGGGTCAGGAATGAAGCCCTGGGGGCTCCCACCATCTCCCTGCCCAAACCCTAGCCTGAGCCCGACTCAGAGAGACAGAAGTCCCGAGAGGCACCCAGGCCCCCCATCTGGCAGCCAAGTGGAGGGGGCCGAGGCAGAGGTTGGTAGCAGCTGTACAGTCACTCGCATCCCCCGGCCCGATGCTCGGAGCTCGGCTGGCCGGAGGAAGGGATTGTGAGAGGTCACGGCTCTCAGCTGGTCCTGACGGCAAAGCACTGTGCTCACATACATGCGTGCGTGTGTCTGTACATATCTGTAGGTGTGCACCTTCTGAACGTGAACCAAAAGCCTTCCAGCTGTTTCACGCGCCTTTTTCCCTGGCCAAGGGCAGCCGCTCTCAGCCGGAGGAGCAGAGCCCGGGCGGAGAGCGGCGGAGACAACTCGCGAACACTTTACCCACGGCATTACTCTATTCCCCCGAGAGTGCCCACCCTGCTCCCCGATTGTAGCGGCTGCCATGGTGACAAGCGCGAATGCTAAAATAAACAGAAAGCAACCCGAAG